CAGGTCCCTGCCAGACCATAGCTCCGTATGTCTCCTTTTTTGGTATTTTCACGCAAATTCTTCTGCTAGTTGGGGTTTAGTCTACTTCTGTATCCTTCCCTTCAAGGCTCAGCGGTCCAAGATTATCTTCTGTGTCTGTGTCAATTGGTTTCACTTTTCTTGTTGAAGAGGGTCTGTGCAATCCTTCTGCCTAGTCCGCCATCTTGCCGGAACCTGTATATAACTAATTTTTAAAGGTAGAAGGCAACTGAGCATTTCTGAGTGCTGGTTGGAAATATCCAGTAGTGAAGGAAGAGTTGAAGTTACAGGAAAGGAATGACTGGGAAAAGTCTCCTGAGAAAGTGGGAGGATAGCATTCAAAGTGCAAGTGGAAGAATTTACTTAAGACGGAAAGGAAGACAAGTGTTTGAAATAGGATGAACTGAGACAAGGATAATAAGATGCAGGAAGGTCTTTGGTAACAAGAAGTTTCTAGTTTGCCTAGAAAGCTGTATAAGACAGATTAACTGCTTAGTTAGGATAGAATGGATGGGAGCAGGGCTCAGGTTGGAAGAGGATGAAGAAGTTTTAATAAAGTCATTGAAGAAGTTGTAGAATAAGTTCAGAAAGCAAAGTTAATTTTTCATGTAGTTTTGAGGGTCCGCTGGAGTTTGCAAGGATGAAAGAAATTATATCTGTACCAACTCTGCCGTGCTGTGTGATTGCCCCCCCTCCCTCTGCTCTAGCAGTACTTGGTTGTGTGATGGCCCCCTCCCCCCTCTAGCAGTGCTTGGTTGTGTGATGGCCCCCCTCCCCCCTCTAGCAGTACTTGGTTGTGTGATGGCCCCCCTCCCCCCTCTAGCAGTGCTTGGTTGTGTGATGGCCCCCCTCCCTCCGCTCTAGCAGTGCTTGGTTGCCAGAGAACATACTGAGATAAAGCGGGTAGCTGGATTCATCTGGAATTGAGAGTTTGCTAGTTGGGTGCCAGGTAAAAATCTCATGATAAGGAAGAAAAGAATTTATTAACAGTAGATCTGAAGTGATTGATCACAGATCTTAAGATGGGAAGAGTAAATTTAAGATAAGACTAAAATAGAGAAGGATTCTTTCATATCACAAATTATTAAGCGCTCAAGTACTAACAGAAAAATTCGTGGTTTGAACTCACCCAAGTACCTTGGAGGAAAGACGTGGCGATCTGCTTCCAAAAGGTAACAGCTCTGAGAATCATATGGAGCATAATTCTAATCTGTAACTCATGAGAGTTACTATGAGTCAGAATCCACTAGATGGCAAATGGCTTAAAAGGTAGACAGAAGGTAGAGAGAGTGGGTCCAGTAACGGCAAAGCATGAATCACAATGGAATAGCTGAGCAGAGTTGCTAAAGATGAGGTTGTGATCTGACAATAATATGTTTGAATTAGTAATTTTTGAGGTGGACATTTGTGTTCAGTAATAAGAATACCTGTTACCATAATTACTATGTAGAAGATGTATAATATTCACATAGGTGAATTGGAAAATTTGATTACACAAGTACACATAATTCTTTTGTAATGGATCATATCCCAGTTTTTTCAGACATATCAGGATCTACTTCCTATGCATAAAAGAAGACAATTTTTGTTACATTCTATATTTACAAGTATTAGAAATTATTTGTTTTTTAATTTTTATCGTGCTTTGGGTGAAAGTGTACAGAGCAAATTCATTTTCCATATAGTAGTTCATGCACATTTTGTTTCATAACATTGACTTTAATTCCCCACAATGTAACAGCTTTCTTCCCTCTTAAGTATTAGAGATTTTAATGGGGTGGGAAGGTGAATGGGACTATACTCACAAATATATATATAGGTTTGGCAGAGGGTATTTCTACATATGTATTTACTGATGATGCAAATATGTCCATGAATATACTTGAGCATACAGAGACCAATGACCAAACACTCTGAAGAAATGAGTTGCTGGGCCTGGGAGTTCAAGACTTTAGACTCGGGACACCAAGGTCAATTGGCATAGCATAGTCCACAGAGACAGTGTTCTACATCCTGCTTTGGTGAGTAGCAACTGGGGTCTTAGAATCTTCTGAGTGATCATTTAAGGTGCAACAATTGGTCTCTCCCTATCTGGAGCAAGGAAGAGTGAAGAAAATTAAAGATATGAGGAAACAATTAGTCCAAAGGACTAATAATGGACCATGTGAATCCCAGCCTCCTGAGACCAGAACTAGATGGCGCTCAGCTACCACTGCTGACTACCCTAAAAGGGATCACAATTGGAGGTCCTGGATAGAGTGGGAGAAAAATGTTGAACAAAATTCACAATAATAACATAGACCAGCCTAACTGTTCTGATAGAGACTGGTGGAACCCCCAAGACTGGCCCTTAGACACCCTTTAAATCTAGAAGTGAACTCACCCCTGTGACTGAACTTTTAGCTAAATGATAGGCCTATAAGGCAAACAGTAACACAGGGAGGTATTCACTCCTTAGAACAATCAACCATAGGAGATCATTAGGGCAATATTTGCCCAGGATTAAAGCACAGAGCTCTGGTAGCATAGTGCCTAAGGCACTTGACTGCTCACCAGAAGGCTGGCGGTTCAAACCCACCAGCCACTCCTTG